GTGTGCGCGCATCGTGGTGCTAGCAGAAGATAGCGTTCGTGGGTGGGTGGTCGATCCCGGCTTGGCTGGGTTGGTGTGAGTTTAGATTCAGAATGAACGATGCGGCAGCTATAGAATGCTCACTCGTGAGTCGTCAGCTCCAATGCTCGCGCAATCACCCCATCCACCCACCCATCACTCCGTTGGCAAAACCCATGCGGCGGCGATTTTCACGACTGCCTGGCGCTGGCTGGCGCATCGCTGCGGCAGCGCTAGCGCGCGCAGGCTCGCGCGCAGCACGCCAGCTAGTCCGGCGCGACCGACGCGGCCGCGGCGGCGCCGAACGCTGGTGACTTTCAAGCGCATCTCGCAGGCTGCGCTGACGCGCGGGCACTTCAGCGCGAGTCGGCGACTTGCGCGGCCGCGGTATCATGGCGACGTCGACAACGGCAGCCACGACGGTGAGATTGGAGATGCTGCAGACGATTGGACGATGACGACGGCAAGGCCACAACGACGGCGCCGATGCTGATCACGCCGACGACGATGGTGGTGTCCACGCGTCGGCAGTGACGGTTTTGGAAGGGGTTCGGCATGGGCGCGCGGCCAACGGGCGCGATTGGCTTGAATGGTATCGTTTGAGAGGAACCGCGCCCCCCCCCCCAACAAAAAAAAAACAAGCGCGTAAGGGCGTTCGAACGATTGCGACATGCTTGCGCGAGGGCCCGCTTGAAAGCACGCCATGAACATGTTCGGGAAATCGTTGTTTCGACAAGAATTCGCAAGAGAGCGCGCGCGCAAATTTGTGGGGGGATATCATCGAGCAAAACCATTGGTTTGTTTGGTGTTCTCGGTAGACTCGGTATCGAAAGACGCTTGCGAAAGGATTATTGGTTCTTGTTTGGAAACACGAGTGCGCTCGCATCATATCTATCTGACAGCGACGAGGGGGAGGTCGATAGCGGCACTCCCTGGGATGATATGAATTTAGTCAAAATGAACGATGGGTCAAAATCATATGTTGATTGTATCATCCCAGGGGAACCGCGATAAACCCGGGCGGGGCGGGGGAGATCCATGTGTTGTTTTTTGGGACGATCATCTGCCCAGTGCAGTTCGCTTTGCCGACCTTGACATTGTCAATTCCATTGCCCGCGCAATTATCCCACCCGCCCACCCGCAACTTGGTTTGCCAAGCAGTACCACGCCCATGCGGCGGCGATTGCCATGACTGCTCGGCGCTGGCTGGCGCGTCGCTGCGGCCGCGCTCGCGCGCGCAGGCTCGCGCACAGCACGCCAGCTAGCCGGGCGCGACCGACGCGGCCCCCCAGTGCGCGCGCAAGGGCATTCGAATGATTTCGGCATGCGCGCGCGAGAGTCCCGCTTGGTCGCACATGCTGAGCATGCCGATCGCATAAAATTGTTTTCTCTTGGATACGCAAAAGCGCGCACGTGTTTGAGGCGAAAATCATTTTGTTAAACCAGTGTTACGTATTTGCTTTCCAGAACATCGATCTTGACATCCGTACGAAATGTGAGGTGTGCGAAGGGTTTTGGCATCGATTGTTGATCCAGTGTGCGACCATTTCTTTTTTGGCAAGAGATGAGAGGGGGTCGATACCGACTTGGCTTAAATCACATAATTACATGTTATTCTTCCAGAATGGACGATGGGGCTGAACCATATGTTAATTGCACATCCGGGGGGGGCGGATGATCCCAGGGGACAATCTATGTCGCGCAGTCGAATGCAATTCAACGGGGGGAGATGCAACCGGCCGCGGCGACGGCTGCAACTAACGCTTCGACCAACACCCAGGCCCAGAAACAGCGGCGACGGACGGCGGCGACGGGCGGCGACAGCGGCTACAAGCGTTGCGGCTGACACCCAGGCACAGAAGCAGCGGCGACGGACGGCAGCGACGGGCGGCGAGGGCGGCAATATTGCCGCCAAACCAACATCCAGGCCCAGTTCTTTAGAACATCAGCATGAAACCCTAAGCGCAAGCACTACTTGGGGAAATTATTCGAAAATGGGATGGAGGAAAAAAAAGAGGAGGAAAAGGATGACGAAGAGGAGGAGGAGGAGGAGGAGGAGGAGGAGGACTTCCAGGAGGATCAGGAAGAGCAGCAGCCAGCAGCACCCAGCAGCAGCCAGCAGCAGCAGGAGGAGGAAGACCAGAAGCAGGAGCAGCAGGAGGGGGAGGAGGAGGCGGCTCTGGCGCCAGGCCTTCCCGCCGTCCCCTCCCCCCCTCCCTCATGCCTCCCGTCTTTCCCCTTCCCTCCTCGCTCTCCCCACGCACTGCAAACGGTTTGACTTTTGCTCTCGGGGGCCCAGCGGGGACCTTCGGATTCGGAGTCGTGCTGCCATCCGTCTTCGGGGCCCCACCCCGTCTGACACTGTTGCACCCTAGATTTCAGTCGGGCCTGTCCCTCTACAGGAGGAATGTTCGAAAATACTCACCAAATGGTCTGGGGTAGATTTCCCTATAATTTTCTGACTGTTCTAGGACATATTTTTTTAAGGCAGACAAATGTTCGCCCAAACTCCGCCTGTCGGGGGACATGCCCGACCTAACTCTAGATCCGCAGCCGCCTCGATGAGGAGCCAGACACGCTGCTCACCCGCGAGTCCCAGTCTCACGCCGCACGCAGCGCTTGCGCCGATGAGACGGCAGGGGTGAGGGCGGCGTGGGCCACGCGCCTCGCACCGAAGAGTGAGATGCCATCGCGTCGCTGGTGCGACGGCGTGCTCGCCGGCTCTCATCAGGGGAGTGAGCAATGACCTAGATATGAACTTTCGGAGGTCCGCGCGGATTCCTCGGATCGGCGCTGGACCCCCCCCCTCCCTGGCGCGCGGAGCGCGCCAGGGGCGGCGCCGGAAGCGCCGCCAGGGGGCTCCAGCGTGGATCCAAAAAAAAAATCCGCGCGGACCTCCGAGTGTTCATGTTTATGTCATTGTTCATTCCCCTACTCATCGACACGATTTCCACTAATCCGTGGAATTCGTGCGCCCAGGAGCTTCAGGCGTCCAACAACGCTCAACAAGAGCCAGCACGCCTGCATACAGGTCCAGGGGCGCTGGCTATGCACTGCCTGTCGAAAGTCCGCGCCCGCTTCCGATTGGACCAAGACGCCGGTCACGACCACCAAAGAACGCCGACGCCAGCTTCAAGCGGGGTCGGGAGAGACATACCATTAGACGACGCAAAGGAAAGGCGTGTGCCAAGAATGCTGGATATCCCCAGGTAATGACAGTTTGACTGACTGGCTGGCTCACGGCAGGAGTGCACCCAACATGGACATGACCAACGACAAGGTGATCCATAGCAGCCACCACATTGCAGTAGCCCACGGTCAGTTCTTGCGCTGGAAGTGTGCCTTGGTCGGATCACACAATCAAGACGGACGAGGTCGATTGCTCAAATTGGCGAAAACGCGCAGGGACAACACAACGGACAGCGGCGTGACCGTCCTAGAGAGGAGGTTCCAACAGGGACCATCACGCAAAACTGGACAAGCATGGCCAGATGGGACGGCACTGACAAATTCAGGACGAATGCTACGTACACCTACGGCAGCTACGATACAACAAGTACGGCCAGATGCGCGATTGGCAACCTGATAATTTCTCTGCTCCTGGAGTGGGCGGTCGGATGGGGGGCCCTTCTGCTGGGGGCTCCCGCGACCCCTTTCCCTGCCCTTGAGAGTGGCAGCGCGGTGGAAGGTTTCGCTCTCCCAGGGGTGCATTCGCGACCGCTCAGGGCATTTGCACGCCTAACATGCCCACATTAAGGACAGCGCGGTGGTGGGCCCCGCTCTCTAAGGGGGCATTTCGCGATCGCTCAGTTCCAGCGCTTGCACGCTGGCCGCGGCATGAGCAGTGCAGTGGAGAACCCAGCTCCCAAAGGTGGGTCTTTGCGACCGCTCGACCTTGCGCGCTGCCCTTGGAATGCCGTGCTCCCTGCGGGGTGGCTTTCGCGAGCGCTCGGCCTTTTCACTTGTCCTTTGGAGAAGCAGCGCGGTGGAAGGCTTCCTTATTTTGCCCATGGGACGGGTAGCGCGGCGGAGGGCCTCGCCCCCGTTCTTTTGGGAACCCTCGCGACCGCCAGGTTTCACCTGCCCGTGAAAGGGGCAGTATGGCCGAGGGCCTCGCTCCCATAGGGAGGCCCTCGTGACCGCTCCAAGCAGGCGCTGGAGGACGGGCCCTTGGACGTGCCCTCCTCAGCGCTGTTTCGCCCTGCGCCGTCGCGCGGGCGCGGGGGGCGCGGCGGCCGCGTCGACTGCGGCGCCCCAGAACCCTGGATGGCTCGGCTCCTTCCACTCCCCTCCTGTGCGGCCCCCCCCTTTCCCTGGTTTCCTCTTCTGTTCCTCCCCCCATCCCTTTCTCCCCCCCCCTTCCTTCTTCCTCCCCCTCCTCATCCCTCCCCATCCCGCCCCCCCCCCCGCCCCTGGACGTCCCCCTCCTCGCTTCCCTTGGCCAAGAGCAAACAACGTCTGACGAGCCCCCTCTCGCCCTCCCCCTCCCCCCTCCCACCACCAGCGCCCTGCGTGTCACGGAGCAGTTGGCGTCGAGCGGAGCTCCCGCCGATCACCGTGCGCCACCCAGGTCTGGCTTTCAGTAGTCATGTATACCAAGGGCTGACCACAACGGTGCTTAGTTTGGTGTGGGCCTTTGTTTTGTTATTCGTTACGATTCCTGTTATTGATTAGTTTCGTTGTCCGCTGTTCGTTTTTTAACGTTTCGTTTCGTTGTTCATTTCATTTGGCAACGGTTTGGTTTCAAACCTTAGTGTTCTTCGGTTCGCTCTTCAGATGAAGTGCCAGTTCGTTTTAAACATCTCTGTGGCCGAACCTTAATTAATATTCATCACGATTGACAGCTATATCTCACTCTACGTCATCCTCCCGCGCAGCACCTGCGTACACCTTCCCTCCATTGCCCGCCACTCCTCGTCACCCTCCCCCTGCTCTCGTCTCCCCTCTCGCTCCCCGAGAGCCCGGAGCTCCCCGGATGACAGGAGAAGGCGAACAAGACCAGAGCGCCGCCAGAGCCTCCCTTGCAGCTGCGGCTGTCCGCCATCCTTGCTAAGGGCGTGACCGACTTCAAGGAGGGGGGCGGCGCGCGAGAAGTGTCGGGCCCATCCTTGCCCCCCTTGCGCCCCTGCAGGGCCAATTCTGATTCGATCAATCCGAGTCGATTTCGAGCTCGCCGCGCTCGATTCGATTTCGGTTTTCCCTCGCATCCTAAGTGAGCCTCTCGTGTTTTCGGCATAACCCCCCGCGCAGGAGCACCTCACTCCCTCTGTCCTCGTCTCCTCCTTTCGTAATCACCACAACTTCAACTCATCATCAGCATCCTCCAGCTTTCCTCCTGTCACATACCTCGCATACACACCTATCATCATCATCATCATCATCATCATCACCATCATCATCATCATCATCATCATCATCATCATCGTCACCATCATCATCAGCATCACCATCATCATCACCGTCATCATCAGCATCATCTTCGCCATCGTCATCATCAGCACAATCAGTATCACCATTATCGTCAGAATCATCATCATCATCATTATCATCATCATCATCATCATCATCATCATGATCCTCATCATCCCCATTACCAACGTCATCGTCAACATCATCACCGTCGTCATTAGCATCGTCACCTGCATCATCATATCATCACGAGCACCAGCACCACCATCATCATCACCCCCTTCATGATCATCGGCCATGGTTATCATCATTACCATCACCACCATCACCGTCATCGCACACGTTCACACATTCACCCACGCGCTCACACACCCACATTATCGTATCGAGGAAGTCACGAACGGTGGCACTGTTGTGAGTTATCCACGAGGAAGTCTCGAGTTGGAGCACCCTCCTTCTTGGATCCCAATTGCATGTTTTTGATCCGAGCAGGTCATCGGCGAACTGCAACAGGCATGCCGCTTCAGCACCCCAAGGGGGCCACTCGTGAGGATGTTTCGAGCGGGGGACTCGTCTGTGAGTAAATTACGAGGAAGTCTCGAGCGGGAGCCCGCACCCCACGTTTTGAATCCCAGCGGGGCATTGGCGCACTAGCAGGCAACGCACTTGAGCGCCCCAAGGGAACAAATCGTGAGGGTGTCTCCAGCGGGGGCTTCTTCTGTCAGTGAATAGCGAGGAAGTCTCGACTGGCAACTTACACTGATGAACATTATATGGTCGGAATCTCCCCGAGAATCTGGAGAGCCCTGAGAACCCAGAGAATCTTCTGGCACCCAGAGAATCTGGGGAATCCGGAAAAAGATGGAGAACCTGGAAGATTTGAAGACATTGGAGAATCCGAAGACGCCCTGCCCGACCCGCCCGTTAGGACTCTTGGCTTGCTGGCTCGATGATGCATCACAGTTTCATGTTCGGCCCGCCCGCCCCGACCGGCCCTTTGCGGCTCCCGCATGCCAGCTCGACGACGCATCATATTTTAATGTCCTGCCCGCCGGCCTTGCCCGCCCGTTCCCTCTGGTCCGATCACCTGGCTGTTTGAGGTGCAAGATTTGCACTTCAGAAATCAGGTGCACTTCAAAAATGAGGTCAAGTCCATAACATTACGTGTTATCGACGTTGCCCACACCTACGTTAATGCTGTATCTGTCAGCCCGTGTACGTCGTCTTGAACAAGTATGTATTACACATACGTTGCAGTGTCATCAATTGCGAGGGCGCGGCGCGCCACCGCGCCCGACTCAGAGGTTGCCTAGGGAAAGGAGGGGCAGGAAGAGGAGGAGAAGGACAAGGAGGGAACGTGTGATGAGGGCTGAGGTGAGGAAGTGCACAAGGAAATGGACATAGCTCGAATGTGAGAACCCTTCTCCTCCCCTCGTCATCATCATATGTTCCATCCTCTCCGTTTCTCCCCTGTCCTCCCGTTATCCTTCCTTTCGCCTCCTCGCTCCAGCTGCCCTGCACTCTCGAACTCCCTTCCTCCATCCTTCCTCATTCCCTCTGCCTCCCTCCGTGACTCCCTCCTTTTCCTGAACCTTACTCACTCCCACTATGTTCCCCTTCCTCCCTCCTCGCTCCCTCCAACCATCTTGTCTCCCCCCCTCGCCCTTCCCTCACACCATTCTCCCTCCTCCCTCACTCCCCTCACCCCCCCATTCCTTAACGCCCGTTCTCCCATGATCCTCCTCTTCTCGTCTCTTCCCTGCCTCTCTCCTCCCTCCTCGCTCCTCCCTGCTCTCCCGCATCATCATCCCTTCCTTCTCACTCCACGCTCCTCCCTCACCCTTTGCCCCCTCCCGTTCTCCGACCCTCCCCCTGCGCCCCTCCACTCCACATGAAATCCCTCGCTCCCCTGTCGCCAGACCCCTCACTCGTCACTCCCCCCCTCCTGGTCCCGAGGCGGGGCTGACGAGGCGGAGGAGGAGCGTGGAGGGCGAGCGAAGAAGAGTAGGAGGAGGAGGACGAGGAGGAGGAGGAGGAGGAGTGAGAATGACGAAGAGGATGGCGATGATCATGATGACGAGGAGGGGGAGGGGTGCAATGATGCAGTGGATGAGGAACAACGCGATCATTGAGGGGGATGAGTACTGAGAGGAGCACCGAGGAGGAGGAGAGGAGGAGTGGGATACGGAGCAAGACACAGGAGAGCATGAGCAGGAATTGTGATTATGAGTGCTAAGGAAGAGGAGTGATGTGACGATCCACCTGGGAAAGTAGATACGATTGCATATGCTGTGGCAGCGTCGCTGATATTACATAATAATGTGTTTCCGTTTGCAAATTTGCATACGGCTTTAGTTGTTTAAGATGTGTTTGAACATAGTATGTTTGGTCCCTCCCAGCACTCCCAAAGCCAACAAAACCACAAAACGAACCAGAACCAGAACCACAACCAGAACCAGCGCCAGAACAACCGAAAACAGAACCAGAACCACAACTATAAGAACCAAAACCAGAACCAGAAGCAGAACCGTAACCAATGATCGCTTGCGACTTCAGCAAAAAAAACAACATACACAGTGTTTCCTTGCTCCGAGAGCGCCAAGCACTGTGTACGTTTTTACCTAACAGCGAAGATTGATAGGTTTCTAGTGGTCTCAAGAGAGAGCATCATGACTCCCCAGAGGGGTCTGGGCAGATGCCGGACGGGTGCCGCGGGAATCCGGGGACTCCCGCGGGAATCCGGATTTTTTTTTCAGCCAACGATAACTCATTTCGTGGTCTTCGAGTTCCCAGAACTCCACTCCTGGGCATGATTTTGAATGCCCGGAGCCAACTGTAGGCCACTTCGTGCTCTTCGAGTTCCCAGAACTCCATTCCTGGGCATGATTTTGAATGCCCGGAGCCAACTGTAGGCCACTTCGTGGTCCTCGAGTTCCCAGAACTCCATTCCTGGGCATGATTTTGAATGCCCGGAGCCAACTGTAGGCCACTTCGTGGTCTTCGAGTTCCCAGAACTCCATTCCTGGGCATGATTTTGAATGCCCGGAGCCAACTGTAGGCCACTTCGTGGTCTTCGAGTTCCCAGAACTCCATTCCCGGCCCACATTTTGAATGCTGAAGGCTGAGGCAGGCTGAGCTGAGGCAGGCTGAGGCTGAGGCCGAGGCTGAAGGCAGACTGAGGCTGAGGCTGAAGCAGGCTGAGGCTGAGGCTGAGGCAGGCTGAGGCTGAGGCAGGCTGAGGCTGAGGCTGAGGCTGAGGCTGAGGCTGAGGCTGAGGCTGAGGCTGAGGAGGCTGAGGCTGAGAGGCTGAGGCAGGCAGAGAGCTGAGGCAGGCTGGCTGAGGCTGAAGGCAGACTGAGGCTGAGGCTGAGGCTGAGGCTGAGGCTGAGGCTGAGGCTGAGGCTGAGGCTGAGGCTGAGGCTGAGGCTGGCAGGCTGAGGCTGAGGCTGAGGCAGGCTGAGGCTGAGGCTGAGGCTGAGCAGGCTGAGGCTGAGGCAGGCTGAGGCTGAGGCCGAGGCTGAAGGCAGACTTGAGGCTGAGGCTGAGGCTGAGGCTGATGCTGAGGCAGGCTGAGGCTGAGGCTGAGGCTGATGCAGGCTGAGGCTGAGGCAGGCTGAGGCTGAGGCCGAGGCTGAAGGCAGACTGAGGCTGAGGCTGAAGCAGGCTGAGGCTGAGGCTGAGGCAGGCTGAGGCTGAGGCTGAGGCTGATGCTGAGGCAGGCTGAGGCTGAGGCTGAGGCTGATGCAGGCTGAGGCTGAGGCAGGCTGAGGCTGAGGCCGAGGCTGAAGGCAGACTGAGGCTGAGGCTGAAGCAGGCTGAGGCTGAGGCTGAGGCAGGCTGAGGCTGAGGCTGAGGCAGGCTGATGCTGAGGCAGGCTGAGGCTGAGGCTGAGGCTGAGCAGGCTGAGGCTGAGGCCGAGGCTGAAGGCAGACTGAGGCTGAGGCTGAAGCAGGCTGAGGCTGAGGCTGAGGCAGGCTGAGGCTGAGGCTGAGGCAGGCTGATGCTGAGGCAGGCTGAGGCTGAGGCTGAGGCTGATGCAGGCTGAGGCTGAGGCAGGCTGAGGCTGAGGCCGAGGCTGAAGGCAGACTGAGGCTGAGGCTGAAGCAGGCTGAGGCTGAGGCTGAGGCAGGCTGAGGCTGAGGCTGAGGCTGAGGCTGAGGCTGAGGCAGGCTGAGGCTGAGGCTGATGATGCTGAGGCAGGCTGAGGCTGAGGCTGAGGCTGATGCAGGGTGAGGCTCAGGCAGGCTGAGACTGAGGCCGAGGCAGAAGGCAGACTGATGCTGAGGCTGAAGCAGGCTGAATCAGGCTGAGGCTGAAGCAGGCTGAGGCTGAGGCAGGCTGACGCTGAGGCTGTGACTGCGACTGCCGTTGCCACTGCGACTGTCATCGCGAATGCGACTACTACTGCGAAAACCGCAGAATTGTACAACTGGGTTCTCATCTGAATATTAAGGGGAATGCTTCCAGATACGCTCCTACACATCGCTGTTAGGTTGCTTTGCCGGGATAATTTGTCTGACGAGCAAGGAGACAGATTGTATGTTTTTTGGGGTGGGGTGGGGTTTTGAGAGCCCCAATGCTCGCAGGGGCCCCTCTCCCAGCAAGCACTGGCGCTGGCAAACCAACAAAAAATAGCGTGGCGAAGGACCCAACAATACGCAGT